CCTCCCCTCAAAATAACTGCCTGCCCCTGTATAATAACCTACTTTTTTCTATATTAGTTTCTATATCAGTTCTGGATCTGTTGCTGCTATACCCCAGACCAGCAACTGATGCAGAATCAGTGGTCAGTCCTTCATACAGATTGGTGGCATGGTATGAAAAAATGGAGCTAAATCAAGGGGAACCTATACACACTATCTGCCATAGTACCCCCTTACATCAACAGGAAAGTAGTAGGTAACATTGACTGGCAGGTACAAGATGACTGCCACCCACTATGGGTGCAGACAGAAGTGCAACTCCCTGGTGTAACTGAGAACGCTCTCCAGGAAGTTACAGTGATGCCCTGGAACAAACAGAAGTTCACTGTTGGTTCCAGGGGGGCGGGGAGTCTACCTGCTGCCTGCAGCCTGCTGCTGATTTCCCTTAGCAATGGCCCCTCCTCTCTGCAAGGCTGTAAAGTTTTCAGAATGGGAGGGCAGAAGGGAAGCAAAGGATGCTGTTCCAGGGATTCCCCAAATCAGGGGTGGGCAAAATATGGCCCGGGGGCTGGATCTGGCCTGCCAGGCAATTCTATCCAGCCCGCAGGGCCCCTAAAAAATGTATACTTTAGGAGAAATTTAATATTTATTTGCTCCTGGCTGCCTGTCAAAGATGACAGAAGCCAGGGGCAGTGGTACCCAGGTGAAGCTGGTGGCAGGACCCAGCAGCAAGGCCTGCCCAGCCCCACCCCAACCACAGCCTGGGACCATGGGGCTGTTCCTGCTTCCCTGCACTGGAGATGGAAATGCAGCCCTCAACAGCTTGCCAAAACTCAGTAAGTGGCCCTCCACACTAAATAATTGCCTGCCCCTGCCCTAGATGGTGCTGGAGAGTGGTCTGGGTGAATTGGAGCCCCCCACCCCCAGCTCAGGGAGGCTCCAATCCACCTGCTCCACCTTCCAGCTGGGGCTGAACTCCCTCTGCTCCCTTTCCCCCCTCTCCTTCTGAAAATAGCTTGAGGGTGGCAGGCAGTACAGACAGAAGTTACAGAAGACCCTCTGTTCTGAAACGTCTTCATCTGACCCTCATGCAATGAAGGTTCAGATTTTCACCTGATCAGCCATTTTTTAAGCTGTCTGCAGCCATGCACTTGTGTCTGGTCATGGCTATAAACTGCTTTCTGTGGCCAGATTGGGCAAAAATTGTCACTTTTGTCTGCACCCTATATGGACATCAATCAGCACACCATCATCTCTCATCTTTTTGTCTTCTACCATACCATTGACCACATCATTTGGTCACAGGAAAAAAGAATGGGAGAAACTAGGTGACAAAGCTGTTGAATGGAGCTGGCAAAGAATGGGAGAAACTAGGAGACAAAGCTGTTGAGTGGAGCTGGCAAAGAACTACCCACAGCGTGGAGTTAGCATCCAGCTCCAATTACAAATGGCACACATGGCAGAGCCTGAACAGATTGAGAGTGGGTCTCAGCAGATGCAACTTTCTCATGAAATCCTGGGGCCTCTAGGCAACCAACCAATGTGTTTGTCAGGAGAAGCAAACCCTGGATCATCTCCTGAGATGCCCTGTAGAACAATAATGCACCCCACAACATTTGGCAACACCAACACCAGAAGCAGTGGCCTGTGCAGAATATTGGGAGCAGACCATATAGAAAGGCTGGACTGGAGCCACAATGAAGAAGAAGAAGGGGAGTGGGTACAAATTCTGCTAAAATTCTTGGACTACAGGAGTCATCAGGGAGCCTATTTCAGAGGATGTTTTTTATTTAAATGCAGTAGCTTCCCACTTTGTTCACAGCTAATTCCATGTGTTAACCCCTTTCCTCTGTCCCTCCAATTAAAAATAGCACTGATTGCTTCTGTTTGTCTTAATGTCTGTGGCTTCTATCCAGAGTCTGAGTTTTAGTGTGCAAATTGAAGACATTTTTTAATTAGTGTGTTGCTGTTTTCCAATAGGTTAGAGGAAGACGGCTCCTTTTGCTCATGGTAATTTTAAGGAGAAGATCCTGAATGTCAGATGATTTATAGCCCCAGTCTGTTGAGCTGTAGTCAGACTTGGGCAAATTTTGGAGCCCAGATTGCAATGAAGTAGGCGGCAGCAGAGATCCAGAACACGTGCAGTGGCTGGCAGGATGAAATGCATGGAGATCATATAACACTATTTACAACTAGCCTCCACCAGCCATTTTAGCAGCCAGTACTACTTTTAGAGCCTGCAAAAAAACATCTGTCTGGCTGATTTTTATTTTCTTAAATCAAATCCTGTTTATAGCCTTCCAGCTGCTATCCAATATGTGGAGCGGGGGCAGGGAGGCAGGGAGGGGTACCTGTGAAGTATTAGGAAGCACCAGGAAGTAAGGAAATAAACAGACAGATTCCCTCTTTGGACCAGTTTAGATCCTGGGACTTGCATTTCAATCCTGAAGCGTTAACTGCCATAGGAAGTCTTGTTTAATGTGCAAAAAGAAGCATGTCATTATTATTTCAACTTTGCTAATACTCTAAATTCCCTCCTCCCCATTCCTGGGTTGAAAGGCCACAACCTAGAGGCCAGTAAATTGTTCCAAATAGAAAACCAAGTTTTATGGGGCATCACAAACAATGCTTTATTCTCCCACCCTGTTTGTATGAGATTTTTCATGAGTGTTTGTTTTCATTTTAATGGACTTGGCTTTGATACCTCTTCTGGGTTTGCTGTTTGCATACATTCTTGGAGTGGATATACACTCCAAGGATGGTCATGGGAAATACACTTCAAAGTCCAATAGGGTCTTTTTTCTAAAGCTGCATTTTGTGTTTGAACATACAGCTACTCACATTGGATTGGATATGGAATATTTTGGCCATTGGATGAACCAATCAAGAAACAGAAATGATACCACAGGACATGTTTGAGTGATCATGTCCTATCAGTACAATTTAGATGGTGAAAATGGAGTATTTATTGAGCTTGAAAAGGGCTTTGGAATCCTTCAAGATGAAAGAAATTCAGTGTAAGTTGGCACAGTTATACCAGTGCTGTCTGTGGAATATGTATTCTGGCTAGGGACAGAAATTATACATAAACTGGTATAAGTGATTGGAAACTGGTTCAAATCTGTAACGCAACAGAAGTTCAATGCATGTAAACCGTTTTCATAATGGCCAAAACTGGTTTAAGATAAACCTGAATTATTTTAGGTTAAATCAGTATATTGAACTTCTGTCCTAGATCCCATCCAAATTCAAGTTACCTCACAGTCCTCCAGCATCCCAGGATGCTTT